GTTTACATGTACAGGTATACGTGTACAAGGTATACAAAGTACAAAGGGATACATGTACAAGGTATACATGTACAAGGTTAATGTACAAGGTTTTACGTTTGTACAAGGTATACAGTACAAGGTATACATGTGGTAAATGGTTTACCCTGTACAAGGTATACATGTACAAGGTTTAAATAAAATGTACAAAAGGTTATACATGTACAAGGTATACATGTACAAGGTATACGTGTACAAGGTATACATGTACAAGGTATACATGTACAAGGTATACAGACAATAGTTGGGCACCCATGACATACTGCTATATAGAAAGTACCTTGTTATGTTGAGCATTTCCTGCAAATTATGTCAGTTTTTTTCCCCGGATGTGACCCACACTAGTCCACTAACACCCAGGATGTGACCCACCCCAGTCCACTAACACCCAGGATGTGACCCACACCCAGTCCACTAACACCAGGATGTGACCCACACCAGTCCACTAACACCCAGGATGTGACCCACACCAGTCCACTAACACCCAGGATGTGACTCACACCAGTCCACTAACACCCAGGATGTGACCCACACCAGTCCACTAAACCCAGGATGTGACCCACACCAGTCCACTAACACCAGGATGTGACCCACACCAGTCCACTAAATCCAGGATGTGACCCACACCAGTCCACTAACACCCAGGATGTGGGCCCACACCAGTTTCCCCTAACACCCAGGATGTGACCCCCACCAGTCCACTAACACCCAGGATGTGACCCACACCAGTCCACTAACAACCCCGGATGTGACCACACCCCCAGTCCACTAACACCCAGGATGTGACCCACACCAGTCCACTAACACCCAGGATGTGACCCACACTAGTCCACTAATACCCAGGATGTGACCCACACCACTCCACTAACACACAGGATGTGACCAACACTGTCTCTTAACACCCAGGATGTGACCCACACCAGTCCCCTAACACCCAGGATGTGACCCCCACCAGTCCACTAACACCCAGGATGTGACCCACACCAGTTCCCCTACACCCAGGAATGTGACCCACACCAGTCCACTAACACCCCGGATGTGACCCCACCCGTCCACTAACACCCCGGATTTTGACCCACACCAGTCCACTAACACCCAGGATGTGACCCCACCAGTCCCCTAACACCCAGGATGTGACCACACCGTCCACTAACACCCAGGATCTGACCCACACCCAGTCCCCTAACACCAGGATGGGGACCCCCACCAGTCCACTAACACCAGGATGTGACCCACACCAGTCCACTAACACCCCGGATGTGACCCACACCAGTCCACTAACACCCAGGATTTTGACCCCACCAGTCCAAATACACCAGGATGTGACCCACACCAGTCCACTAACACCCAGGATGTGACCCACACCAGTCCACTAACACCCAGGATGTGACCCACACCAGTCCACTAACACCCAGGATGTGACCCACACCAGTCCACTAACACCCAGGATGTGACCCACACCAGTCCATTAACACCCAGGATGTGACCCACACCAGTCCACTAACACCCAGGATGTGACCCATACCAGTCCACTAACACCCAGGATGCCACCCACACCAGTCCACTAACACCCAGGATGCCACCCACACCAGTCCACTAACACCCAGGATGCCACCCACACCAGTCCACTAACACCCAGGATGCCACCCACACCAGTCCACTAATGTTTTCCAGCCATACCAGGGATCGACTCCTGGACCTCAGTGTGTGAGATGAATGAACTAGCGATCGAACCATGGGACACCTTAGACATTTAAAGGTCGGACTTATAAAAAAAAGTCAGTCGGAAACACAATACCAGAAGAGGGCAACGAAATGTTCCTGCAGAAGGTACTGGAGTCTTAGGAAGGTCCAAACAGCGGTCTAAAGACAGGGTTGAGAGGGTGCCATAGAAGACAAGGGTCTTGCTTATATGTACTTAAAACCCTAATTTTTAAAGGGGTGGATCGGTAAGCCAGGAAAGGTTTCGGTCAGATGAGCAAAACCTCCAATGGCAGGTCATCATCTAAGACCCTCGTCGGGAAACACTCGTTCTGTCCTGATGAACCTTACCTAACCTAGCCTTAGGGTCCAGCAGGAGAAATTTTATGAATTTGGGACATATTTCTGAAAAATAAAGAAAGGGGGCACGGTACATGGAGTGGGCAGCTCCCAGGAGAAACGAAAGGGATTGTAAATCCCCTCCATGCCCAAGAGGACCTCAGTGCAGCCAACGGTGCCAGTGGCAGCATGGAAACCATGCCAGTAAATCCGTAATCCAGGATAGCAACCCCA